TTCCTCTCAATTTTCTCGGTATTTCCGAGGACCTTCCTAAGAAACGCCCTAAAAATTTTGAAAAATTTACATCCTAAAATCGCATTCTAAAAAATTCAACCATTTTCAGTTCCCGGAAAATGCTTCTCTTCCTGGTTTTAGGTTTACCCCCGAAAATCTATGCTGCCATTTTGCAATCCGATCTCTCACTCCTTCTCTTCGTCTCTCAGTCACGCTGATCACTCACACTGGAGTAAGGTAAACACGCATCCTCTCTGATTTCTCTCATCTTGTTCTCTCTCTCTCTCTCTCTCTCTCTCTCTCTCTCTCGTTGACCTAACCGGCCCTCAACGCCACACCACAACTCACCATTTGTCACAACTAGGAATTCTTATGCTTTGTAAACATTTAACAAGGATAACATTGTAAGTAAAACTTGAAAGCATGTATGATGCTTATTCAATGACAACAAAATTCCGTCAAACACTCTATACAAACACTCAAATAGTCAACAAAAAGATTGGAAACCCTAAAAATCCCGGTTTAAGTCCATTATGGACTAGGATTTCCTTATTGGGCATAATGGACCAATAAGCTTCCAATTTGACTATTTTGGGCTTAGGACCCTTAAATGGGCCCTAATTGGACCCACTCTCATGAAACTTAACCTTTTTGGGCCTCATAAGTCTAAAATGGATTAGTTTACCTTTAATGGGCCTTCTTGGGCCATAACAAATTTAATAAATCCTAATGGGCCACAAATCCATTCTTTTATGCAAGATTGGACCGTGATCTACTCCAAAGGCCCAATGGGCCGAAAACCATCAATTTGGGCTTCACATTATGGAACTCAAACACTAAGGCCCAAAATCTCTTCTCTTCCTTCTCTCTCTCGACCCAAGTAGAAAACAAAAAAAAAGGAAAAAGATGTAAATGGGGAGGGTTGACTTTGGAGGTGCCACCTCCTTATTACACCCCATATCTCCATGCATAGACCAACATGCATCCATGCAAGTCATTTCACCTCTCTCTTCCCCCTCTCTTTTTCTTCTTCGGCCGAGAACACAAGGAGAACACACACACACCACTTCAAACTTCTTCCAAACTCTCTCAAGCATTCTCCTCCTTCTCACTCCAAAATCTCGAAGTTTTGTTAGTGTATCAAGAGGATTTTCAAGAGAATATCATCATTTCTTGGTAAGTTATACATATCCAAGGATTATATAACTCTTTTCTCATGTTAGATCCCTTCTCTTAAACATTTGTGGTAAACATACTCCTAAAATCACCTCAAGTTCGAGATCCACATCAAGGTGTTGCTAGGACCAAAACTCTTCCATTTCCTTCTTCAAAACCGACAACAACAAGAAAAGGTGAGTTCATACCCCCTTGTTTTTGGGTTTTACTTGTTTTTGGGGGGGAGAATACAAGTATTATGTGATGATCTATGTGTGTTTGCATGCTATATGTGATTTCTTTAGTTTTGGTTGTGATAATATGTAATATTTGTTATACTTCGAGATCTATAGCAAAAAGTGTGGAAGAATCATAAACAAAAACATAATAAACAATACACATCATGGATCTAAGGGTCCTTAAGTTTAAAAAGTGAAAAACAAAACCAAAAGAACCTTACAAGTGTCATTTTTGCAAAAATAACAAAGATTGGGTATAAATTGTAAATTGTCGGTTTTATGAGGGTTATAAGATGTTTATTTGTATAAAAGCTGATTTATATGAAAATAACACCTTTCAAAGGGTCAAAAACATAAATTTTAGCTTAATGGGCTTAAAAGTGGGCCTAATGGGTTTTGGGCCCAAAGTTGCAAAAAAAAATGAGATTTTGAGGGTCTGAGTTGGAAAACTCAACAAACTATGGGTCTAAAATGTAAACAAACTTTTTCAGGGGTTAAAAATGAGTTTATTACCAAATTTGGACTAAAAATGCAAAGTTTTTGAGTTTGGGGTCAAAATTGTAAAACTTACGGAATTGGGGCCAAAAATGTAAACTTTTTGCAAATAAAGGCTGGAAATGACAAATGAAATAGTTTTGGGCAAAAATTTCTATTCAAATAAAGTTTGGGTGGAAAATGTCAATAAAAATGGTTTAAGGACCAAAAATGTCAATTTTCATAAAAAGGGACTAAAACTGTCATTTTTATAGAAAAGGTGTCACAATGGTTAATCTAAATGTTTTTGGGCCAATTAAAACGACTATAACTTTTGAGGTTAAAAATAGCAAGTTTATAACGCATAGTTTTAAAAATATACATATATACATATATAATAAAAACTTCGTTATAAATCAAACGTTAAAATATTTCGTTATTACGGTTAAACATTTAACATACCACGAATACCAACAATACGAACTCAACCTCGATAAAACTTACTCGATTCAAAAGTTGGGCTCAAATACCTATACGTGCTATTGGGCCTTTGTGGCCCAATATCATGTTTATTGGGCCCGATATATTCACACATGTTTTTTGGGCCTCCTGTGACCCAATTACATGCCTAAGGGACCCTCAATGGCTTTTACATGCTGATGGGCCTCAGTGGCCCATTGGCATTGCTAGTAAGGTCCAAATAAATCATATGCGAAATGGACTAACGCGTCCTTCGTATACTCGACAGCCTTAAATAACATACGTGATTAGTGGGGGCCTCGTAGTCCTCTTCTCTTCGTCTGTTAGGCTTACCTTCTATTCAAGTAAACAAAAATCAGGTAGTTAATCAAGGTTATTCAAATTCATTTGGATTAAGTGAGTAATAACGGGCGACACCAATAAGTGTCGGTCGTAGTCTGTAGTTATAATCAAAGTCTCCTGGAGGGAGAGCGAGAGTTTGTGTATAGATCTATACGGGGGTGACTCCCCCACACCTAAGCTGTTCGCTACAGTTAGACTCGGCCAGTCTAGGGTGACAAAATCTTAAAATCAATTCCGGCGTTCGCTAGAATGCCAAGACAGACGAACTAGTCATTATTATGCATGGTTATAACGACTCACATAGAGATCCAATACCATCTAAGTAATCATGGGAAAGCATATCCATTCGTTGTGACGATACAATAAAACAAATCGATCATACTACTTTATCGGAAAACATCGGGTTTTCCAGGGAAACAACATTATTCACTTGTACTTTCAATAACTATAATGCACGAATTTATCATGAGAAACACACCATTTTTACACGTTTTGAAATCATTCACGCATATACTTATGGATCATCACACCTATTGTATAAACAATTGTCGTTTCAGAAAATATCGGATTTTCTGGGTTTTACAAACTATACAAAACATTTTCATATCAAACCTGCTTATGAACTCACCAACATTATATATGTTGACGTTTTCAAAATAACTTGTATTCTCAGGTAACAGATAAGCTGAAGAACAATACCAAGTGTGTTAGGATGTTATGTTTTGTGACTCTCAAACAATTTATGTATGGATATGTAATGTAAACAATGTACTGGATATGAACAATGACGGTTGAAATGTATTAATGCATGGGGATGTTTATGTTATGTTTTATGTATATTCATTGTGATGATATTTCAATTTAAGTCACATGAGCCCTCGGACGTTTCCACCGTCTGGTTCGGGGGTGTGACAGGTTGGTATCAGAGCTCTGTTTATAGTGAACTGACATATCTAACCACTCATTGATATGCAACTATAAACCCAAAGAGGGACTAAATAACTCTGAACAAAACTAATAAAACATAATAATAAACACTCTTACTTGTGCGGCTTAGAAAAATAAACATAATAACAATTCAAATAAGGCATCGGGAAAAATCCTGACATCTCGGTTAAGCCAGGACTGTTCATAGTTGTATTAGGGATGAATGTAGCCTGATCAACTACATTTCTTCAGAATACAACTATCACATGCCCTGGGGAAATCACGATGGTCAGTAACCCAAAGGCATACCCCCTTGTTAAACAAGAGGAGGACATCAACCCAATTTTTATAACAACTAAAAATATTTTAGGATTAATAATAGTTTATTGATATACCCCCCCCCCCTGCAGACAGTATGGCTGGGTTCCATCTTCCTGGAGATCCGTATTTCCCCAATCAGGGGAATAACGGATGGCTAGAGGAATCCGACGAGGAGCCTGAAGAGGATCCCATGGAAGAAGAGGAACCGGAAGAGGAAATCGAAGAGGGACCTGCAGAACCTGTGGAAAACATTGAAGAGGAAGATTCGGGTGGCGACAACAGCGATGATTCGAACACTGAGTCTGTAGTCATCAACCCCCCATACCCAGTGAGGGTGCCAGCTCACCGAATGGGTCCTAATGGCCTTACCCCTCCCTGGGGTATCGACATTTGGAGATGGAGCAGACAACAGGGATAGCGACCCCCGTTTGAAATGGCTCGCCAGTTCTATGACTTGAGGGAGGGAGGACCGGCTGACCGAGCACTTCCTGTAATGGTGAGACGGTTACGGAACACTGACGACCTAGCCCAGGACACGGCCGAGCAACTGAATCAGATGCAAGCCGCAGTAGCCTGGGCGGAACGAGAAACTCAAGAAGTAATCCATAACTTTCATGTACGTCAAGCGATTTGGGAGGATCGACTAAGAGCCACAGAACGACAGGTGGCGGGTCTTCAGGGCGCATCCACATCATCAGCCCCACCACCCGACGCATCTCAGAGCACTTCGGACCAGTAGAATTCCCTACTAGTGCTATGTTCTCTTATGTTTGCTATATTATGTACTATCGACTCCATGTTTATGTGATTACACTACTCATAGAGTCGTTATGCTGCCGAACTTTATGTATGCTCTTTTTGAGCAAATTTTCATGTATCAAAGTACGGATATTATTAGTGAAAAATATTATGTGTTTTATGGTGATGTTGTGACTTGCTATGTGTTTTATACTCTTATTGTTTGGTGTGAATATATTAACAATTAGATACAAAAATCGATTCACGAAATTCTCTACTTAAATACAATACGTACTCAACGTCTTCCTGTTCCATAACAACAAGATGCCGCAAAGACCAACCCGTGGAAACAATCAACCACCAACGCCACCAGAAATCAACTTGGTTGCATTCCAAGCAGCTGTGTCTACCGCAGTCACAGTAGCACTGGCGCAAATCCACAACGGGAACAATGGTGGAGGCAATGGACAGGGGGCTGGAAGTTCAAACAACGGAATAAATCAAGGACCTACCAAGACATGCTCATACAAAGACTTCACCAACGTTAAGCCATGAACCTTTAATGGCACAGGGGGAGTGATAACCCTGAAAAGGTGGAATCAGTGTTCGAGATATGCGGATGCCCGGATGAAGTCAAGGTGAAGTTTGCAACATGTACATTTGTTGATCAAGCTCTCACCTGGTGGAATGGACATGTGGAGGCTATGACTCTTCCAGTGGCTAATGCCATGCCATGGACGTAACTAAAGGAAATGCTAATGGCTGAATACTGCCCGCGTGGCGAAGTTCAGAAAATGGAGCAAGAGCTATGGAATTTCACTGTCCGAAACTCCGACATCGATGCCTACATAACGAGGTTTAGTGAACTGTCTCTGTTGTGCCCTGGCATGATTACTTCTGAAGGGAAGAAAATCGAAAGATTCATCTGGGGATTAACCTCCCCAATTTAAGGAAACGTGATTGCTGCGAATCCCAAGACTTTTGACAGTGCCAAGAGGTTGGCCAAGAAGTTATACGACCACAACACCAAAAAGGGCAAGAAGTCAGGGGAAACTGAAAACAAGAAGGAGAGTGACAACAGGAAAGGAAAGAATAACAAGAGGAAGGGACGACAAGGCTCAGAGTCGTCAAAGAAACAACAAACAGTGACAGTTAATGCTGCAACCACCCAAGTTCCCTCCACACCACATGCTCCAGCCTCATCCACTCCAAGTGCCCCTAAGCAATATTCCGGAAATCTCCCAAAATGCAACAAGTGCAATCTCTATCACAATGGTGAATGCAGGGAGATGCAATGTACCAGTTGCAACGAAAGGGTCACACGGCAAAATACTGCAGGACCTATCCTCCCCAGAATCAGCAGCAGGGAAACAACAACAACAACAACCGCAACTACAACAACAACAACAACAACAACAACACCAACAACAACGGCAACAACACTGGGGCTAGCCACACCTGTTATGGATGTGGAAGGACTGGGCATTTCCGTCGAAACTGCCCCAATGTCAACAACCAAGGGAATGGAGGAGCAGGGAGAGTGCTGACCATGGGTCAAGGAGAAGCGGTTCAGGATCCCGCTGTTGTCACTGGTACGTTTCTCCTTAACCACTCATATGCATGCATCCTGTTTGATACCGGGGCAGGGTGAAGTTTTGTGAGTAATAAATTCAAACATTTGCTAAAACAACAACCCCAAAAGCTTAATGACACCTTTACGGTGGAAATGGCTAATGGGAAAACAGAATCAACTGGGGAAATCTACGTAGGATGTACCCTAACCTTAAATAATCACGTATTTCAAATAAACTTGATGCCTGTAACTATTATGTGACAACCGTCAAATTTCGGTCAAGTCAAAGTCAAACAAAGTCAACAAGTCAAACCGGTCAACTCTTGGAATTCCAGGTGGGTGATCGTGTACTACTAAAAGATTCCCCTTGGAAAGGAATGATACGATTCGACAAACGCGGGAAACTAAATCCAAGGTACATCGGGCCATTCGAAATCCTTGCTAGGATTGGGCCAGTAGCATACAAACTTCGATTACCTCAGGAACTCGACAAAGTACATCCCACATTTCACGTGTCGAACCTAAAGAAGTGTTTGTCTGATGAGACACTCGTAATACCACTCGACGAAATCGAAGTTAACGAAAATCTCCACTTCGTGGAGGAACCAGTCGAAATCATGGATCGGGAAGTCAAACGAACGAAACAAAGTCGTATTCCCATCGTGAAGGTCCGTTGGAACGCTAAACGAGGACCCGAATTCACCTGGGAACGCGAGGATCAGATGAAAAAAAAGTATCCACATCTCTTCCCAAACTCTTGAAATCCCAGTCAAAATGAAAATTTCGGGACGAAATTCCTTCTAAGGGGGGATGATGTGACAACCGTCAAATTTCGGTCAAGTCAAAGTCAAACAAAGTCAACAAGTCAAACCGGTCAACTCCAATAACCCTTGTATGTTAGGGTTTACGTTATGTAATCACTATACAATTCGCTATTTTAATGAGAAATCATCATTTGGAAAGTTCATGTGTTTGATTTTCCTTAGCCTTAACAGTGCTAAACAACGAACCAAAGCGATAAAACACTATTGCACAATCATCGGGATTGTGTACGACACTAAAACACGGTTTAACGGGGTTTACGAACCTTGCGTTGTGAAGCCGGACACTCAATTAATCACAAACGAAACCTCTCTAAATCGTTTTCACTCTATCTCTTTCTATTTGAAATCTCTCCCAAATCTCTCTCAAAAGTTACTTTAACTTTTTGTAATCATTTGGGTCATATCGACCCTTAACCGGGTCAAAAATCGCTTGAAACGGGGTAAAAACGGGTAAAATAGCCTTAAGGACCTGAAACTGAAGCTTCAGGACCGAAGCCTCTCATCCGAGGCCTCGGATCCGAAGCCTCTCATCAGGACCGAAGCTGAAGCCTCTCAGGAGACCGAATCCGAAGCCATCAGACAGCAGCCTCGCATGTGAGGGTCCGAATCCGGCCTCCATGCGAGGGTCTCGCAGACGGCCCCTTTTTACCGGTTTTTCGACTACGACTTCGTTTTAACTCCGTTTTTCATTATTTTAACGTGGGATTTTCACCCAAAACTTTATTTTATAAACTAAGGCCCCAAATATATAAAATCTCCAGGGTTTTATAAAAATATTAAAAGAATTAGTGGTTGAACTAATTATTGAGGGAATATTTGCTTTTCCTTAATTTATGGCAAAAGCAAACCACCACCACCTCACTCTATGATCAGCCACTCTTTCCCACTACCCTTGTCTCCTTAGTGGACCTTTACACCCAATCTCCAGCTCTTCCCACGTTCTAAGAGCTGTAGGATTGATCCTCTCTCCTCATTCTCCATAAAGTTCTTTCATTCTACACTTAGCAACCAAAGGACACTCTCCAAAATTCTCTCATCTTTTCTCTCAACTTCAAGAACTTCAAGGCTTTCTTCAGGGATTTTTTTCTTCAATTAGTAAGTATCTTCATCATTCATATAATTATTACACTCCATTCTACTCAATTCATTGATATCTTACACAAATTCCATCTTATTCGGTGTTAGATTCTCGAATCATCAAGACATCTTCTTAGTGTTCTTGGGTTGAATACTTCCTCTCTCTCACTTTCATCTACTGAAACCACATAAGGTGAGTTTATACCCCTACATTTACATGTTTTTCTTAAGTTTTAAGGGGGGAATACAAGTAAAATCATCAAGAACACAATTAAACTTTTTCTATCAGATTACATCAGAAAAGATGAACTTCGATCACGGACTGTTTTGGTCAACTTAAATATTTTAGTTTTCAAAACTGTTCCAGGTGCAAGTAGTTCAAACTCTTAGCTTTAAAATGGCTACTTGCACATCTCCATATGATTTTTCTACAATTGATGGTGATTTTTACAAAACTGCCTGTCATTTCAGAGGCAAACCCGGACCAGTCTGTGATTATGAACATTTTCACCTCTGTTAGAGATCACTAAAAATCATGATAAAATTTACGAACAAACTAGACTCATATTCCAAACTCTCAGAATTTTCGGATTTGGATTTAGAGCTTTGATGATTTTTCTATAAATTTTCTAAGAACGGTAACAGAAACTGTATTCAACGAAAAGTTGCTGTCAATTTCATTTCACCTTATAACATGTTGAGCAAGGTGTATATCTCTATGTGATTATATGTTATTGCAATATATGACATTTTATCTTAATATTTAGACACACATCAGTTTACAAATAGATTTGGACATATAAAATATAAAGAATAACAAGTGATTATAATCAAAGTGCAACCGATACATTCAAACATTTAATAAACTATTTTGAATATAGTTTGCATACATTACTACGTACTACCCTTGGTTGATAAACTATAATAGGTATAGTTTTATGATACATTACATAACACATACATTTAAAAAGGGTACATTTATACAAAGGATATTTTCATTAAGCAAGGTACGGCCATACGGTACCAAGTTTTCATAACACGTAATTCCGTTAATGACTTTGTGAGACATTTACTTCAAATTACCATTAAGTCCTGTATTGTAACCAGAGTCTCCTTGAGGGAGAGCATGATAGTTGTGTATAGATCTATATTGGGTTTGACAAACCCACACCTAAACTGCATGCAACAGTTAGACCGATAGGTCTGGGGTGACAAATGTCATAACATTTCCGACGCCTGAAGAACGTCGTTTTAGGCAACCTTGGTCATAGTATGGTTATAATAAACTCACATAAAGTATTAATAAACATTGGAATTTACGGGAACTTCATTAAAATTTAACGAGTTTATGTCGATTTAAACTTGCATTGTTTTACTATAAATATGACAAATTACTTGTACATTTCGGTCTTTGGGTTTTAAGACTACATTACACATTAAGGAAAATATTGGATTTTCTAACACAAATACTACTTTTACAAACGAAAGGCTTTTAATAATACCAAACAAAAGCTTATGAACTCACCAACCTTTGTGTTGACACTTTTTCAAACAACTTGTATTCTCAGGAAATCATTAAACAGGTAACCAAGTGCTTTTGAGGATGGGGCGCTAAGGCGTCTACTATTTCATATTTTGTCAACATATTGTAATTGATTCGTAAACATGTAATTCATACAATGATGTTACTTTTTCAATTATATATATGTTGGTTGTGTTTGCTTCAATTACTATTACAATTGTTGTTATGATACTATACATGAAGTCCTCCACCCCCGGACATTTCCGCCATCCTTGGTTTGGGGGTGTGACAGATTGGTATCAGAGCATAGTTTATAGTGAATTAAGTATATCAAACCACATAAGATATACAAACTATAAACACAATTGGGACTAATAGTCTCTGATTTGTGCATTTTTCAAATAAATATACTCTTAGAAAATAAATGATTTTCTTGATTAAAGTATACATACATACATTACATGCTCGCATGGTATCATAACTAGCGAAAACATAAAGCAAAAGAAGAAGAGTTGAACATTTTGAGTATGCCTTAGTATATGTGGATTAAATCTGGGAAGGATATAGCCTGATCAACTATATCTGTCCGGGAATTGACTTGCATATACCGGGGGGATGGTCAGGATGGGGCAACAATCTAACAAACCTAATAAACACTACAAAGGATACTTTAAGAACTCAAAACTAAACATTTACAAAATTATGGAGTTTTTGTGTTACTATAATAAATTATCTGAGAATTAAATAGGTCTTTATTTATAGATCAATAGCTGTAAGTGGATGCGCTAAGGTCATATGTAACTAAGATGCTATAGACTTAGAATTTAGGTATCTTTGTTTCACTTCCTGTCCTTGTTTTGGTTGTGGTCTTGGAGTTAGGGTCATCTATTCGAAGGACTATATATCTTAATCACATATGACTGGTATGCACTTTGCAACTAATTAATAACCGCTAAAGATCATTTTAAATATAATAGATTAATTATGTCCCGACTAAATTAGTATATGTGTAACTTTTACAAACAGTCATCTACTTGGAAACAGGAACTCAAATAAAATATTTTATACTTTCATTTTACCTCATAACCCAATGTATTGGGTCAGTTAAAAGTATAAAATCGTATGTATCGTAAACATACCGGAAAACAACGTAATAATATACTTTAGGTATAAAAGATTTCTCTTCCTATAACTATACTTTTACTAAAAGTACATTGGTTTACGACTTATGACAGAACCAATGCGCCAAGGAGAAGACCAAGACCTTCCGGCAACACAGCAACACCTCTTCCGCCGCTGCCTCCACAGTTTGATCCGCGATGTTCCAGGCTACCGTAACAGTATGCATAGCGGCCCGCAATATCGCAGATAGGGACAAACGGAGCTGTGGTCTGGATCGGGTGCTACAAACTCTAACCACGGAGACAGTACGTGGTGTACAGAGAGTGTTCCTACAAAGACTTCACCAATGCAAACCCGACAACTTCAATGGGAGGGGGGAGTCATCACTTTAAATGCATGGTTTGAAAAGACCGAAGTAGTCTTTCAGGC